AAAAAAGAAAAAAGAGGGTGCCCCTTTAACGTGTTGGTAACTGGGTATGGTCATGACGGGGAGAGCAACCAAGCCATGGCTAGTCCCCCACGTACTCTGCCAGATACTCTCGAAATTCCAGTGCCAGACACGGGTGGCTCACACCTGTAACCCTAGCTACTCAGGAGGCAGAGATCAGGAGGATCACAGTTCAAAGCCAGCCCTCGCAGTGTTCTGGAGACCCTATCTTGAAAATACCCAAGACACAATAAAAGGGCTGTGGAGTGGCAAAGTAGGAAAGCACCTGCCTAGCAAGTGTTAGGCCCTGAGTTCAAACCCAAGTACCACCAGAAAAAAAAAAAAAAATTCCCAACATAGCATTTGCACCCAGGATCAAATTACTATACTCTATCAAAGGTAGATTATCTTGCTGTTGTTTTTATTTTGGGATGGGGGTGCAGGTGGTACTGAGGCTTGAACTATTTGCCTAGGCTGGCTTCTCCTAATCTCTGCCCCCTAAGTAGCTAGGATTACAGGCGTGAGCCACCAGCACCCAGTTATCTTGCTTTTAAATTCAAGTCTATGGTTAATTTAGGTGCTGTCTGGTGACTAAAAGTCTTATTGGAAGGTAATGCTTACTAGGAGGTTCCCATCCCCAGGAAAGGATTTTTTTTTTTTTTTTTTTTTTTCCAGCACTGGGGCTTGAACTCAGGCTCTACACCTTGAGCCACTCCACCAGGCCTTTTTTATGATGTGTTTGTTCAAGATAGGATCTCGCAAACTATTTGCCTGGTCTGACTTTGGACCATGATTCTCCTGATCTTTGCCTCCTGAGTAGCTAGCATTACAGGCATGAACCACCAGCACCTGGCTCAAAAAGGATTTTCTTAAGGACTGATACTACTGGTATAGGAAGTCTGACAGAAATGATCTAGAACAACAGGTGGAAGGAATGGAGTCATACTGCTTTCTAGGATCTTAGTAGGGGAGGAAGAGGGTCAGAGACATGAACAGAAGCCAGACCATGGGAGCTTTGAGAAGGAGTTGGGGAATTTTCCTGGGTGCCAGAGTAGCCATTGTACTAAGTTCAATGTTGGCTATTGAGTGGAGGGTTCTAAATTTAGATGGGGCTCTGAAGGTTTGGGGGTCTTGGCTGACCTTGTGGTCAAGGTGAATATTACTTTCCCAACTCTTTCAGTTTCTTGCTGGTGCTCCTCTTGTTGGTGAGAAAGAAGCGGAAGGTCAAAGAGCCCCTTCTGCTCCCAGAAGATGATACCCGTGATAATGTCTTCTATTATGGTGAAGAGGGTGGTGGTGAAGAGGACCAGGTGGGTCACTGAGGGACCTGGGGGTTTGGAGGTGGACTCCCTCAGGTTCACTGGCAGGAATGGTTGGGTCAACCAACTAACCATGTTAACTATGTTGACCAGTCCTGGCAGAAGCATCAGCCTTCATGCAGGATCAGCCACCAACTCCTTCTTCTGAGAGGGGCCAGTCTATCATTATAGTCTCTTTGGCTCAGCCAAGTGGACCGCAAATCTGTGCTTAACTTGGGAGGACCAGGGGAGGATAGAAACGAGGGCTTTCAGAAATCTCTGTCATCAGTCTTCCAAGACATACCTAGTATCCAAAGGGTGAGGGGTGACTTGTAGGGAGAGGGGAGATTTCTCAATCTCATGCTCCCACTCATTTTCATAAAGGACTATGACATTACCCAGCTCCACCGGGGTCTGGAGGCCAGGCCTGAGGTAGTTCTCCGAAATGATGTGGCACCAACCTTCATGCCTACACCCATGTACCGACCCCGGCCAGCCAACCCAGATGAGATCGGCAACTTCATCATTGAGGTGAGGCATGGTGGGCCAGCCCAGGACAGCCCTTAGTCAAGCCCAGCCTGAGCACAAGAGAACAAGCATTTGCTTGGAATTTTGGGTCTAGGTTCAAGTCCTGGCTCTACCATCATCCAGCTGTGTGACTTCTGTATATTTGAGTACCTCTTGACTTCTGTTTCCTCCACAAATCCCAATTTTACAAACTACTAAGGATAGATTAGGAATGATTTATTCAAACCTAATAGTTGTTAGGAAAATACTGTGGAACTAGAACGCCTGGGTTTAAATTATAAAGATTCAAGTGGTTCCAATGTAGAGGAAAGTTTGGAAGCTCTGTCAGATTAAATGGTAAAGTATCTGCCTCGCAAGCATAAAGCCCTAAGTTCAAACCCCAGTACCACCAAAGGGGGAAAAAAAAGGATTAAATGAGGAAGCTCCTAGAACAATACTGGCACAGAGGCTCCCAACCGTGCCTTCCATTGGAGCCTCTCAGGGTTCTTCAAAGACCACTGGAATCTCTAGCTCTCCCAGCAATCACATTTGTAGAATCACAAATTAGGTACGCGGGAGGCCTATGATATTAGTGCTGCACTGCCTGCCACCTTCTTAGCAATCCATGATCAGAGATCCTTAGGAATAGAAAGAGAAAACAAAAACTTAGTTGAAATTTAAAAGCGGCTGGGGCGCGCTGGCCAGTGGCTGTGGCAGAGGGCTGGGTGGGAGGTCAGGAGGCCTTAGGCCAAACTTTAGCCCTCTGCCTCAGTCTTCTCTTCTGCAGAGATGGAAACTTCCATAAGTAGTCCTGTAGTGAGCCTCTGTCCTTTAGCATGGGGGGTGCTTGGGAGAGTTCTGTGCAAAAAAGCAAGTGTCCTCACACAGGGAAAGTTGCTCAGGGCGGCTGGTTCAGAGAAGATGCTTTGAACTAAATACCTGGAGCTTTTTCCTGGGTTAGATGAAGTTTCCAGAATGTCTGCATTTGGAACAATTTGCAAATTCTAGCTCATTTAATCCTCATGTCGTTTTACAAGTAAAAAAATAGTGTTCACCTATATGCCGGACACGATTCTAAGCCATACACTCCTTGATTCCTCCTAAGCTGTGGGTATCATCATTTTACAGACAGGAAGCAGAGGCAAAATCCCCAAGCTAGTGTGTCTGGAGTTGAGTTCTGGCTCAGGCTGATGTCAGACGCAGTAGCGTGTTGAGGTATCATTGCAACTGGCAGGTGTCAGCGGCCTGCCACTCCTCACTGTCTGCTCTGTTCCCACAGAACCTGAAGGCGGCCAACACGGACCCCACAGCCCCACCCTATGACTCCCTGCTGGTGTTTGACTATGAGGGCAGCGGCTCGGATGCTGCCTCGCTCAGCTCCCTCACGTCCTCTGCCTCCGACCAGGACCAGGACTACGACTATCTGAACGAGTGGGGCAACCGCTTCAAGAAGCTAGCAGACATGTACGGAGGCGGCGAGGACGACTAGGGGACCCTGCCAGCATGCTGGGAACTAAACATCAGCCATAGCAGCATCTCCCAGGGGTCTCAGGTCCCTCTTTAGGCAAGGAATCCACAGCTGCTCAAGAAGAGGCCTGAACAACTTGGAGGGGAGAGGCTGCAAGTCTGGCATGAACCGGGTCAGGTTCAGAATGGAAGGTGTGGGTAGTTTGACTTCAGCACTGACCTAGATCAGAGTCACCTCAGAGGCCACATTTCCAGAAGTCTCTCATCTGCCATAAAATGCTCAGCCCCATGTTCGACCTGCCTTCATGCCCCATGATGACTTTCTCTAATGAATCCTTTAGAAAGAGGCCTGTTTACTGCAACCTGTCTTACTCCTTTTTTTCTTTTTTTAATGCTATTTTCAGTGTCCCCTCCGGCCTCTGAAGTGCAGCCTGCCAGGTTCACTGGCCCTGAGACCTCTCCTTTGGATGGATCACTGCGTTTTTACTGAGTGTCTAGGTTGTCCTGTATTTTTCTTTTCTTTGTTGTGTACTGTAGATGAAGGGTGATGACAATCATGTAAATGTACTAGAACTTTTTTTTTTTATTAAAAGAACTTTTCCCAGAGGTGCCAGGGGAGTGAGGTTTTGTTTGTTTGTTTTTAATAGCTGCTTATCTATCTGATTCCCATAATATACCATTCCCACACCCTGAGGGTTCGATTCAGTGGGTTTAGAATCTTCAGGGCTGTGCCAAGGGCTGAACTCCTACAGCCATGCTAACTTCCGCCCGGATTCCTCGTGGGAAAGGATTCGCTCAGAATCCGGGGCTCAGGGTGTAGTGTAAGTGTGTGGGAGGGTGGCGTAGAGACCTCCTCTCCACCCTGCAAATTCAGAGCTGCCCCTCTGTGTGAGAGAACCGTTAGCCTCTTCCCTGGGGGCTGAGTGTCACCAGAGCCCAGGTAAGGTCGCTTAACTTCCACTTGCCTCAGAGTCTACATTTATAAAACGAGAGAGTTCTATGGTGATGAAATGATTTAATATCTAGGCTTGGTGCTATTTGTGTCAGTTCGTGACCACTGCCAAGTATTCAGATGACCTTTAACTTTGATTATTTCCTTTAAACTTACCCTCAGAGAATTTTCCTGCTTTAAAGAATGACCTCACTGTGTTTTGTTTTGTTTTAAATGATACCTGGGTCAGATGTGGTGGCACATGCTACAATCCCAGCACTCAGGAGGAGCAAGAGTTCGAGATCAGTCTGTGCTAAAAAAAAAAAAAAAAAAAAAAAAGGTGGTCATCATCAAAATGAAGCAAATCCACCCAAGACATAAGTGAAATTGGACCATTCCTGACAATACCAGGACAGGAATGCAGGAGTAAGGACACAGAGAGAGACAGCAGGGCCCGAGCAATTCTGCTTGTCCCTTTGTTAAGGTGAAGTTCAAATTATTCTCTTCAGTGAACCAAAAGAAAAGAATCTGGAGCTGATGGACTTGCTGAAGTTGAAATGACTATTTCTTCCCCCGAGAGCAGCTCATCTTTGAAGCAGTAAACTCAACGTCTTGTCCCAGAGTCCGAAATGCCAGCCTCACCTGCTGACTCGCACACGGTGGCATGGGTGTGTGTGGGGGGGGGAGTCAAAGCGCCCCAGGTGAGGCTGAAGCACACTCAGGTTTGCCACCAACGCTGACATCTGGGGTCCTTGGCTCGAGAAATCTAAAGGGAATTAAGGGCTAGGGGTGTAGCTCAGTGGTAGAGCGTTATAAGGGCCTCAGCACTACAGAAGGAAAAAAGTGGGCAGATTCAGTAAAGGTTTCTAACCATCCATTTCGCCTTTGCCCTCCAGCCAGGGCTGCCTCGACCCCCTCTGCCAGAGCCCTGCTGCTCTTGTTGAAAAGAGGCAGCCACACCTGCTGCCCTTATCTTGAACTCCCCTCACAGAAGCCGGAATGAAGCCAGAAACCCTATCCCTCAGCTGCAGCTACTCATAGAACCAAACAGCCGCTGTTCAGGCCAGGCCTCTCCCCTGAGACTCGTGGAGGGTGTTGAAGAGGAGAAGTCGCTTTCCACAGGCAGGCCTGGCCTCTGGCGATGGAACCAGTCACTGGCCTCTGAGTGATTTAGAAAGAACGGACCTGGATGAGGTGATGAGGATGGGTGCCGAGCCACTCTTACTCTGCAGCTGCTTCCCACCTGCCAAATGGGACCTTAGGTCTGTCTTGAAGTCCTGTAACGAGAAGTGAAAGCATTTTCAGCTGGTAAGTCACCATTGCTCATGCCAGGTGAGCACTAACCACAAGAAACCAATATGGCCAGCCACACTGAGGACCATCTGAACGACTGACTTGCTAATCTTTCACATTTTGTGACTCAGCAGTGTGCTGTGTGTCCTCCTGATGCATGTGCCTTTTCCTCCACCCATGCCTTATGCACCCCTATTTTCTATTACACTGGTACTGGGGTTTGAACTCGGGGCCTCACACTTGCTAAGGCAAGTGCTCTACCACCTGAGTCACTCCACCAGCCCATATTACACCTTTTCGTAACAGGGCATGTAGGGCTTCCTTGTCTCCGTTATACCCAATTCAGATGGGTGTGATCTCACCACCATTCATGAACTAATTAAATCTATTTTTTTGTTTTGGTCGGGGGAGGATTGGTTTTTGTTTTTGGGGGGAGGGGCAATACTGGGGTTTAATCTCAGGGCTTCACACTTGCTGGGCAGGTGTTCTACCATTGAGCCATGCCTCAAGCCCTTTTCGCTCTGGTTATTTTGAAGATGGGAGTCTCGCTTTTTCCCAGGACCTTAATCCTTCTATTTTATACTTGCGACCTTAGGTAGGTGGGATGACAGATGTATGTCACCACTGCCAGCTTTTTTTTTTTTTTTTTTTGGTACTGGGGTTTGAACTCAGAGCCTAAACCTTGAGCCACTCCACCAGCCCTTTTTTGTGATGGGCTTTTCAACATAGGGTCTCACAAACTATTTTGCCTGGACTGGCTTCAAACTTTGGTCCTCCTGATCTCTACCTCCTGAGTAGCTATGATTACAGGTATGAGCCACTGGTGCCAGGCTCACTTCCAGCTTTTTTCTGTTGAGATGGGGTCCATGAAGTTATCATCCCCAAATGCAGTCCTCCCATTCTCACCCTCCCAAGTAGCTAGGATTATAGGTGTGAGCCACCTGTGCCCAGCTTACCCCTGTCATTTCACAGGCAGGACTCCCTCCTTCTCCAGCAGGGTCACAGATGAGCCAGGCCAAACCTTTTCCCCTGTAGCTGACCCCACAAATCTTTTTTCCTCCCAGAAGGATGTAGATAATTCCCATACTCCTAACCCTGAGAGTTTTGAGAAAAAAAAAGTCTTGGAGATGGCCGTCATCCCTGGGGGGTGGGCAGGAAGCTGGGACCCGAATTCCTACCCCCACTCCACCCATGCTAGGCTTTCTTAACCACTGGGACCTACCACAGGAACATGGAGGATACCCAGTCAGGGAACTGCCCAGTGAGGGCTAGTCAAGGAGGGGCCTTGAGATTGGCTGAGTGATGGCCACAATGACAAGGTGGAAGCAGTCACCCTGGAGAGCCCCTTCAGTATCCCACCCCTTGTGGGTTCAGTTCAGCTCATTGGGAACTCCATGTTACACTCCCCACCTGACTAAAGGCAGAGCCTTCCTCCCCACCTCCAATTGAAATAACCACCAAAGACACATCTCAGAGAACAGGTTCAGATCCCAGCACTTCCACACTGAAGCCTTGAAGGAATCACTTTGTCTCTCAGTGCCTCACTTTTCCCATCTGTATAATGAGACAAGTAAATGGGTTAATATACGTTAAATGTTCAGAAGAGTGCCTGGCATGCACAGGCTACATAAGTGTCACAGTGTCACTGCTGATGGGGGTCAAGGGACTGGCAGGGCCAATTATTGCTGTTTTGTCTCCACTCACATCCTGGGTAGAAACTGCGCTTCCAGTAGGAGGAATTCCTGGAGACCCCAGGAATGCTGGGACTATGTACTGTGGGTTCCCCAAAAGCTCTCCCCATCATGTCCAGCAGAGGGAGCCATTCACCAGACCCACAGAACAGGACAGGGCACCTCCCAGCCTGGTTGGGCAATACTGGATCTGTAGAAAGGGAGGGAACCCAGGACAGAACAGTCACAGTGGGTGGGGCATACAGTATTAGGGATTCTGCTGTGTGGCAGGGACTGCCTTGGACACACTGAGGAAGGTGGTTCTGGAATAGTGTCTTACAGAACACATGCTCCGTAAACAATTATTGAATGAACACAAAAGCCCAGGATGCTGACACATCATGGTGGTGGGGTGGACAGTGACAGTCAATATTATTGGGTTACAGCTGTTTATAACCTTCCCGTACATACAGTCAGATACATACATTCTCCCACTTCTCAGTCATGTGAAGAGAGGTTTGATGGTTTCCTTTTAAAATGGAAATTGAGAGTCAGGATAACAGCTGAAGCAAGTATAGTGCTCTATGCCTATAATCCCAGCACTCTGGAGACTGAGGCAGGAGGATCTCCAGTTTCAGGCCAGCCTGGGCCACACAGTGAGACCCTGTCTCAAAACAGAGAGTATTAGTCACAATCTAATACTCTCATTCTAATTCTGCCAGGAAGCAGCTGAAACAGTTCTGGATCTCCTTAATTCCCAAGTGTGGGCTTTTTTACTGTTAAGAATAAAAGCTTGGCTCAAGTGGTAGAATGCCTGTAGCAACTGTGAGCCCCTGAGTTCAAAAAGAAAAATTTAGAATAAAACCTCCAAGGGCTGGAAGTGTAGCTCAGTGGTAGAGTGCTTGCCTAGCAGGTGGGAAGCCCTGGTTCCTTCCTCAGCACCACCATAACAAAAAGCCCTTCCAGCTACAGACTGGGTCACATAGCAGGCAGGCAGGCAGGAGTAAACACTTCACATGGTGCTCCCCCTGGCCTTCCACCAAGGCTAGGTCAGCTGCACCTGACCCTGAGAGACTATGGTGCTATGTCAGCATTTCCAGCCACTTCTGGGGCCCCCTTGAGAATGTG